TGCTGGGGAATTCTGGGAGTTGAAGTCCACACATCTTAAAGTTGCCAACTTTGAAAAACACTATTGTAGACTCAGGAAAAAGAAGGACTTCTCATGAGCAAGGTCTTTCTCTTCAGTCGACCTGTAACTCCCAAGGAGAAATAGTAGACCTGTAACTCCCTTGGCTCTGAACTTTTATACCTTGGCATTCTGGGAAGACAGTGAAGCTACCATCTCTTGATTGCTTGGGATAATGTCCTCAGTGGATCTGAGTCTTCAGATTCCTGGGGCTTTGGCAAGACATTCCAGGAAGTCTTCTTTGAACAGCTCCTTGCCAACCAGCCCCAACTGAGTAGTCTCCAAATGTGTTTGGGCTACAACCTCCAGAACCTCCCCAAAAAACATCTGGAAAGTGTCACTTTGAGAAAAACTAGGCTGACATTTTTCCACTGAAGGATACATCCAGTATTTCACCATCTTCCAAATATAGGCAACCAGGTTCTTTGGTACTACAAGTTGCAATTCCTTCCTCTCTGCCTGCAGAAGTCCTTTTGGATTTCCCCTAACCAAACGCTGTTACTCATAAGGATCTACTTTGGCTGTATCTTCTGATCAACATTGACCAAGATATTTTGGTAGCCCAAACCAACAATACAATACAGTCAATTCAAAATACCATTATTTAAAAATAAAGTTCATTAGGCATCCAAAGTGAGCTAAGATCTTTTGTTTCCTGCACAAAACTTACTTGGCCTTGGAGTTTTGGATGAAGGTGGCGGCTTTGGTGAAAGAAAATTTGATGTCTGTGTCCAGCTCCTCAACAGAGTTGACATCCAGGCAATAAGGGACCCCTGGTGCAAACTCCTTCCACCTAAAGCAGTGAGCATTAGTATTATGTAGAACCAGAGGTTTCCATGAGAGGGAGGTTAAAAAAGTCAAGATGGTGGCCATGATTGCCCTGCCCCTTTTTTACATGTGGGTTTTGATTGCACAATCATGGCTTTTTTGACCTCCCTTTGGATACCTCTCTGTAGAACTGCCCTAAAATTTCACAAAAAACTTTTCTGAGAATATTTCTGAGATTATTTTCCTACTCCTTCCCTAAAAAGAGTCATTTTTCAGAATATTTCTCATCTTGTGTCAGCTGTCAGGTTTTTTTCCCCTATGGTATCTTGGAAGAGTGTTGGACCCGGGCCTTGGTGAGAGATGCAAAAGAATAACTACGTCACAGCAAGGAGGAGGAATTATTGCCAAAACCAAAAAAACCAAAAAAAAAAAAAGAAGAAGAAGAAGATTTTCTTTCCTCCTGAAAAAATATTTGGGAAAATTGCACCTCCAATTTCATTGCCTACAAGTAGGATAAATCAGAATTTGGAGAGGCTGTTTTCATGTCATAGGACATTAGGATCCTCACATACACAAACACACATATTCCTTGCTTCTCTGAGACCCGGGGTTTGAACTAACAGCATCAGGGACAATTTGTGGGTGGGTCAAAAAAGTCAAGATGGTGACCGTGTCCATGCACTACAACCCTGTTGAGTTTTGGTCTTCATTTTCAGAACTCCACCCATGGATGCCTCTGGGCAGCCTCAAAATTTCACTCACCAGTATGTATTCTGTCTGCGCTGAAGCTCTTCCTCTCGATGCTGCTGCAACCTTGGCAAACTGTCCATGGCAGGTGTCTTCGCTGGGGAAATAGCAACAAAGATGGAGGTTAGCAAGAAGAACCAGCTGCTCCCTCAAGAGATCGCTGAAAGTAGATCCTAGACATCCTGACTCCTCTGGAGCAGGTCAAAGGAGACCAGGGGATGAATGGAGGATGGCCTGATGGATCCGACCAAACTCTTGAAACATTCTGTTCCCATCATGCCCAGCGAGGGGTCCCAAAGGGAAGTCCACAAGCCGGATGCGAGGCTACAGGATCCCCCACTCAACTGGTATTCAGAAGTAGTATGTAGCCATCAGCATGGGGGTCCCTGGAGAGGGAAAAGGGGGCCATATGTCACACGTATGTAGACTTAATTGCACAGATGGCATGAATCATGTCAGTTGCATCATTTGCTTTGGTAACTGGTGCAAGTAACAGAATTCAAGTCATTTGCACATGACGTTCTCATGGCTTGCCAAGCCTTGGAGGCAGGCCAGGTCAAGAAACCGACACAGCGGGGATTCCAGGAAGGTTTTTTCTTGGAGTAAGGTAGCATAACAAAATCTTGCAAGCCTCTCCAAGTTTCTTTCTGTCCCATCTTATACTAAATAGAATCAAGGTGGGGTTATCTTGAGTTTCTTTCTCACTCTTTTTCAAGACAGAGGAACCTTTACTGCTCCAGAGGTATAGGTCAGAGCTGAATGTACAAGAAATGAGGCGTACGCTAAACCAAAACTAAATACAGGTAGTGTAAGGAAAATATACCTTTGGCTGAAAGAAGCAAGTTTTTGGGTGAAAGAAGCAAGTTTTTAGAGGCCTCAGATGAATGGGATCGCCTTAATAAAATTGAAACATAAAGGAAGGTGCAGCCCCTTTGAAGCTGGTGTGAACTAAGCTGATTGTCAACTCCTTGTCACAAACATCCCCACAGCAACTTAAGGAGGATGCCTTCTTCCTGCCATTTGGCACCTTGAGCTAATTTGTTTCTTCTTTTCTTGAAGAGAGCAGTTGTCCTTGTAGACAGCAGATAATAGAGAGGCAGAAAGTAACCTGAGAAGTATTGCTTATTTAGGTATGCCTGCATCATCATATGAATATGTATGCAGATGCGTTCTTTTTCCGTTCTCCTTGTAGAACTATATAAATATCAGGGCACCCATTTTGCCTACAGGGGAGTGTCTCCCACTAACCCCTGGTGGGGTCCCCCTCCAGTACATACTGTCTAATAAACACTGCAGTGAAGCCTTGATTATTTTGCATTTGTGTCCTGTCTTTTGATTCTACAGTAGTCCTCAACTTATGAGCATCCATTTAACAACCAAGTTACAACGGCACTGAAAATAGTGACTTACAACCAGTCCTTGTACTTACAACCATCGCAGCGTCCCCGGAGTCATGTAATCAAAATTTGGGTGCTTGGCAACTGGCATGTATTTATGACAGTTGCAGTGTCCTGTGGCCATGTGACCACCATATACGACCTTCCTGGGGGGCTTCCGACAAGCAAAGTCAATGGGGGAAGCTGGATTTGCTTAACAACCGCTGGAAAAATGGTCATAAAATCTGGTGTGACTCACTTACTGACCACATCGCTTAACAACGGAAGTTCCGGTTCCCATAGTGGTCGTAAGTCGAGGACTGCCTGTATATTGTAAGAATGTAAAAATCCCCATAGTGATGGCCCCATTAAGATCAGCACGCCAGGAGTTTATGAGTCTAATTTCAAGCAGTGTGTTTTAAAAAAAATTCAAATGTTTTCCAGAAAGCTCAATGACCAGCACTTATTGCTACAGCAATCAGGTTAATAGTACACAAGTGTTTTTCTCTGAAGACTAAATACCAATGAACACCCCATGAAATCACAATATTAAAAAAAAAAAAGGGAGGGTAAAGGAGTATTATTGGTATCTGTAAGAGGTCACAATGCCAAAATGGCTGTGATACCCTCCTGATGCAAACGATGAGAATGACGTGTGTCAGTGACTCATGGAGGTGGCATAACCCTGCCATCTGTGTGATGGTGCACTTGACATCACTTTGCCTTCCCTCACCTACTGCGCAGATGCACGATGTTACGCCTCGTTGACTTTGCTGAGTGTAAGCAGGAATCTGAGGCTCACAGCCTTCTCCTCTTTCCCTTGAGTAGGCCTACTCACCCATTCCCTCTCGGAGCTCTAGTGGCTGGGAGTCCTCTATCCACTGGTAGCAGGGGAAATTGTAGGTCATCCCCTTGGCCGATGTCACCGTGACAAAATTACAATACCAGCTGTTGGAAAGAGGTTCAACCAAGGCATCTTTCTGGAGGCGGAGAAGAAGGATTTCCCCCAGGTTGTGCTCACAAGTGATTTTGTATTCACTCTCCTGCAGTTGACATTCGGAGCATCCAGAGGCATCATGGAAAAGAAAAGGGGACGTCATGAGTCAGAGGAACCTCAACTGGTTCTCTAGGGGAGACGTTGCTGCTGGATCTAGGGACCCATCCTCTGCTTAGCTGGCAACCTTGGGTGGTGGTGAATCATAGGTTTCAGTTGTGGTGAGGAGGAACTAGGATGTGGGTGTGGATGATGTCAGTTCACCTTGTGTTGGAACCAAAATGTTGTGAAATAAGAAGGCAAGAAGGAGAAGTTTCACAACACCTGTTGCCCTGAGCAAAAATGATCAACAGGAGCCAAGGCTTCACCATGGTTCCAGCAAAAGCCAAGAAAGAGAGAAAGGCCTGGAGGAAAGCATTTTAACATGGTTGTGAGGAAGGGCCCAGAGAAGCCACGTAAGACACAAAGAAAAAAAAAATCTTCAAAAGATTGAACATCTTTTTCTTTCAGGTCATGCGGGCTAAAACGTGATCCCTGCAAAAACTGTAATTTGGAGAATAGACAGGTTGGACTAGTTATTCCCCTCAGAATGAAAAAAGTGAAAAAAAAAGCCTGTAAATTAAAACACGAAGGATTGTTGACCCACATGTTTGAACATGAAAAGTTGCGAAGCAGAGTCAGATATCAGGCATACATAAAACTAGCGAAAACTCACATCCACACACTGCAGTTATTTGGAGGAGGGAAAAAAACATGTATCTCGGCTTGTTTTGTGCACTAGCAGATCGTGTGCGTGTGTGTGCGCGCGCCTGTGTGTCTACTGCTTTGAAGAGATTTCCCACCGTACCCTTGATCACCCTGCCGCCCCCTGAGAAAAAAGTGAGAAGATCTAACTTGCTAAGGCATCCAGGATCCAGGCGTTCCGTTCTTCAGAACTTACCCTGCCTCGATAGAAGTGGGAACTCAGGGTGTTAAGGGCGGTTTTCGGACTCTCGCCCTTGGTGCCCACCAAGGTGATGGAAATTAAATCAAAGGTGCCTGAATGATGGAAGTTGCCTGTAACAACCCGGACATTGTACGTTGCCATGATGGAGATCCGTTTGCTGCTGGACGGGCCTCTGCATCCAGTTCCTCTGCTGCAGTTTGCAAGATGGAGTCTATAAATGGGGCCAACTTTCCCTTTCAGTAAGACAACCCCGCTTCTTTTCCCGTGCCAGCTCCACCTCATAGCAATAAAATGCTCTCCACCCATCCTTCACGTGACAGTTGGCTGTGTTATGCTAAGTTTCCCTTGACTGGCAAGAAGTCTGCAACATTTGTACCTTGTGGCCATGCCAGCTGATATGGGGCCATGGTGAAGGAAGGAGGATCCTCCAAATGTCCTGTTGCCCCCCCAACAGCACCCCTTAAAGCAGTGCTTCCCAAACCTGGGTAAATTACCCAAAATTGGGTAAAAGTATTTTTTCTTTGGGTTGTTGTTGTTTAGTCGTTAAGTCGTGTCCGACTCTTCGTGACCCCATG